ACGTTTTTTTTTCCGTGACCATTGTCCTCCATTATTTCCCCTAATGTGTGCTTTTTTAAAGTAATTGTACATTGGATATTTTAACCTCGTGTTTAACATGTCTTAGTCTTGGATTATCATGGTGGCTCTGCTCTCCTTTTCATTCCAGTGCGGACAGGTCTTGTAGTGTCTGTAGTGTTTTAATCCTGGCAAGCAGTGAGTGCGAGCCAGGATACACCCTGGACAGGATGCCAGTCAATTGCAGGGCAAAAACCGAAGCCTGATAACTTACCAGTATGTCTTTGGACTTTGGGAGGAAACTGGAGCAGCTGGAGGAAACTCAGGTGAACATGGGGAAAGCATACTCAAACTCCACTCAGGAGTGCAGGAGCCCAGGACCAGAATTGAACCCAGGACCAGGACCAGCAAAGGCCAACCACTGTTCCTCCCCCACTTTCCTCTTCATTAATTGTTTCCCGTGGCCTCCAAAGATGTGCTTTAAACTTTATATTCTCATATTACCACCTACAGATAAATGAGTTTCACTTAAAATTTTCACGAAAGTGTCAATTTGGTGGAAATAGTGTTTGGATGCAGATGAAGTGATAAGCAAAATCAAATTTGGGAATATGACATTAAACACTTTTTACATCTTAGAGAGCATTGCGGTGTGGAAGTATCTATTCATATGTGGATTTGAGCATTGTGTTTTTGTGTATGGTCCTGCACTGTGATAAAAATCCACCTTGTTGTTTGACAGCATTGGTGTTCCCCAGTTCTCCTGCCAGACAATGTAATGTACAGGTGATTGCTGTGTCTTGCTGTGATGTACCCAGTCATGTAGTGGTGACTACATATCTGTTAAGGAAACGCACCATCCAACATGTTTTACTTTTCTAGTGTTATAAACGTGTTTGTGTATTTTACTATTGTTCCAAAGGTGAAACAATCAATACCATTTTTAAGGAAGCTCCTTTATTACGGAGTGAACTAGGCCCAGACTCATTTGGTAAAAATGTTATTTTGCTGCAGAGTCCTTGCTTAATGAATAAGTGTTGACTTTGTGATGAGTAACCATTTTTGATCCTTGCGTCGCAAAGTACATAGACCTGGTCATTTGTTTACACTGGTAAAATCAGCAGTCATGCTTTTGATTCCTGTTAATACTCCATGGAATGCTTTACCTCTTGTACTCTCTTGTATTGATCACTTCAATAATTATTTGCAGATAGGTTTCCCATTGATCCGAGTTCAAATGTAAATCTTGTCATGGAACATCATTAGGACATAAGAAAGGTTACAACAAGTGAAGGTCATTTGGTATTTAGTAGCTTATTGATCCAACAGTCTCATCCACCTGTTTTTTTGAAGAAAGCCAGGCAACATGGCTTAGTGGCTTTATAACTATTACTCCCACAAGCCTTTGTATAAAGAAGTGTATTCAGTTCTAAGTTCTTAATGCACTGCCACATACTGTGGTTCCCACCTGTGTCTTTTGGTTAGTGTTTCACTGTTGAATCTGAAGAAATGTAGTGTTTTGACTAAAACAGTTCAGTTCCTTCAGACTCTCAGAGGGGTTGGGAAACCAGTTGACCTTGGGCCCCTAGAGGTTTTTTTCTCCTTGCTAAGGGGTTTTTGGTTCCCCTCCTCTGTTGTCTTCTGGTCTTTTCTGTTCTGTATTCACAACATGTATGGTCACTTGCATTGTTAAGCGCCTTGGGGCAACCTTGTTGTGTATATAAAAATAAATTTCATTGAATTGACTTGGGGTGCAGCTGTAAACCATCAATCCATTCCTGAATGGTAGCACAGGAGAAACATACATACTCCACCCAGCTAGCACTCCTGGTCAGGAATTGAACCCAGGACCCAAGCACTGCTAACCACTGTGCCACCCTGTTTATTATAATTCTCCTTGGCAAATTAAAGAGTGCAGACAGTGCGTCAGGCTTTTTGAATTAATTCCAGAATAAGAACTAAAAGCAATGCTACTTTACATTCAATTACTTACCTGTGACTTTGCCAGTCAGTCCTCTGCAGAGGAATGTTCTGCAGATTAAACCTGTCCACACCTTAATACAACCTCCTGTATTCCATTTGAGTACCAAATGTGCAATTATAGCCATAAAATATTAATGCTCTGCTTTTCGTTTCTTAATTTTAAAGCAAATTGTCACAGTTAATTAAATTTGAGATTTTTTTGGTTATTAAGAAAACAAGCATTAAATGATGGTTTTAGTGCTGAAAACAGACTTATTTCTCACAATGTCTGTTTATACCAAATAATGTGTGTACAAACAATATAACTGGAGTATCTTGAAGTGCAGTAATAAATTAGTTTAGGTTCTAGTTAACAGAAAGTACTTTACGTGTTGGAAAGAAACCAAAGAAATTCCTGTCTCAATTCAATCCACAGATCCCAGGGAAGAATCAATTATTTAGCAGTAGAGAATGCATTGCACAGGAACCTGATCCAGCCATGTTAAGTAGTCAGTGCTTCGTTGTTAAAGCCTTGCAGGTCAGTAGAACGAGTGAAACTCATGTCAGTTTTTAACATATGGTTTCCTAACATTGTGCTGCTTCTCTGATATAGAAGGAGAGGAAAAACAAACTAGTATTAACTGATAATGTGGTGTTTTACTTTTTGCATTGACAAATAGAAACATTTTGCAGAAAATACAAATGGTACAGGAAACAAGTTTCAGGAAAGTTGAAATTCACACTTAGTTCAGGTGGGTAGCTGCGTCAGCATGCGTAGTCTGCAAAGGAACAAGTAATAGGTTTATTCCATGCTGAAAAGAGAAGAAAGAAACACAACGTTTCAGCTGTGAAGCCTTCTTCAGGTGTGAGAAAGAAGACAGGGCAGACAGCAGAGATTGAATAGCACAGAAGAACAAAAGCTGGGAGAGGGGAGGAGGCAGAGAGGCCACTCAGGAAGTGGAGCAAAGTGGAGAGGAGTGAAGTCAAAACCTGCATGAGAATAGAGAAGATTACATGAAAATAAGTCGGTCATTGAGAGAAGGAGGACAGTGTGAACGTAGTGTCAGGATGAGTTTCGTTTCTGTTGTCTTTCTGCTGTGGGAGTTGAGAAACTCTTTTTTGAGAACAGAAACGGAGAGAACAGTGAGATCATGGACGTCTAAGGTGAAATAAGAATCTGTGGGCTTGGAGAAATCTTTAATCTTCACAGCTCTAACGTTCTCTGAAGCGGTCTTCTGGTCTTGTAGATAGCTGGGCATTTTTTGCATTTTTTGCCAAAAATGAGGTTGCTGGCGGTACAGGATGTCGTCTGGGTGATCCGGAATTGACCTGAGGGGCCCTGGATGAGCGTGTTGTTAGATATGTATTTGCAGGTGATGAGGCGAGTTCTGTTGCAGGGGAGGGTTCCTGGTGGGGATGATGGCTGAGTGTGGTCAAGGGAGCTGTGAACCAGATTACGTAGATTGGGTGGTGGGCGTAATGAGATGATTGGGTAGTCAGAAAAAAGGGTACCAATGGAGGTATCGCCCTGTAAAATGGAGTAGTTGTTAATAATGGTCCTGGGGATAGAAAGTGAGTTAGAGTGGTAGGGAAGCACCAGAGGAATACGGTTGTGAGACCGGGAGTTCTTGGTCAAGTTGATGATCCGAGGGCTGTTTTTGGCCCAGGTGAGGGCACTGTCGATAATGTGGGTGGGGTATGCTCTGTTGATGAAAAAAGAATACATTTTGAGTGCTTGGTTCTGGAAATCCATGTCGTCACTGCAGAGTTGACGTATCCTGAGGAACTGTGGAAAAAAGGAGAGTGTTTTTGGTGTGAGTGGGGTGAAAAGAGCTGTACAGGAGATAGCAGTGTGAATCTGTGGGTTTGTAATAGACAGAGGTGGAGAGTCGTGAATAGTTAATAGATAAATTTGTCTAGAAACGGAAGAGTGGTGAAAGATATGTTAACTGTATATTTGAGGGACGTGTGAGAGTAAGTGAATTGATGGAGGCTGATCATTAGAGCATGTAGCATCACCGACACCGTAATCGGTGTATCGCTTGTAAAGGTCAAGGGCAAAGCCAGTATAGGAAGCAAAGAAGCATTCTTTTACCCAGCCAACAAAAATATTGGCAAAGCTGGGTCCCATCCTGGTGCCAATGGCGACTCCACTAACCTGCTGATAAGAAAGGTTATTAGTCCTATGTACTTTAATACTTTTTAGATAAGATATTAAAGTATTTGGTGTAAATACACTTTGTGGAAAACTGAATTGCAATTCAATGTACACCTGTGGTTTGGCTGATTCCTAAACGTAGGCCTTTTAATCATTTGATGTCCCAGTTTTCTGTCCTATCCCTTAAACAAGGAAATGCAAAGAGCCACCTCATACTTTCTTCTTTTGAAAGACTGAGTTGTCTGCTGCAGTGTCTCAGAGAGCTTTAGCATATTTCTGTAACAGAATTTTGGCTTTGATAATATTTTTTTCATAGCTGGCATTACCCAGTATCTCAGTTAAAACAAACGTGATAATAACTGTGAATAATTTCATCTTTAGGGGAAAAGACGAAGAAATATCCAGTTAGCTGCTTTTCTAAGCGAATGTAATCTCATTGAAAATTGAGCTTACTTGAACAGATATTTTAAGCCATATTTGTTACATTTCATGTGAAAAGGAGTGGACCTTGCTTATTCGTTAGTCATAAATGAATTTATGGTATTTGCAATTTTTGTCAGCTGCTAGTTCTCATGAAAAGCCAGATTTCCAATGAGACATACTTCCGGACATGGAGTTGAAGAGATTTACTGGTGCAGCATCTTTAGGTATTCAGTGATGTCTTAATTCGGGGCTATGTTAATCCCTTGATTCAACTCTGGCACGTTTATCTGAAAATATCACTCTTACAAGGTGCTTGAGGCCACGAATCACAGTTCTGTCCCTGTCACACCCAGTGCACTTTATTCACAGACGTGCAGTCGTAGTACTGTACCACCGCATGATAAAAAGTGAGAGGTTTGTAAAACACCTTCCGAGGCAAAACCCGTGTTTTCCCTTGCAGACTTGATCCAGGCCACCAATGAGACAAACGTGAACATCCCCCAGATGGCAGACACGCTGTTTGAGAGGGCAACGAACAGCAGCTGGGTGGTTGTGTTCAAAGCCTTGGTCACCACACATCACCTGATGGTCCACGGCAATGAGGTAAGCTACTGCGTGCTGTGAAGTGCTTACAGCCAGTTACACCCAGGGAAATGGGCTGCATGTTGCTTGTATGTTCATATCTAGTTCTCTGGTAGACTTCACATTCCTTGAAGCAGGGATGTTGAGTCTAGGACTCAAAATGGTGACTACAGGCTCCAGACTAAAATATCCAATTTCTTAATCAAAATACATCAGTGTATGTCAATCATTGGAGAAGGACTGGAAATACATTGTGATCATCAAACACAGAGGAGACCATTCGGCTTAGCTTAGCTGGTGCTTTTTGTAGTTAGTATCTCTTTTTGTAGCTAGTATCTCATTATACATATATACAAATTAAGGTATAATTTGAGCTACTAGCTGAGTATGCATAAATGTGATATATTATAGATACTCTCGGAACACTTTGGGTAAAGAAGTTCCTGTTCTGGGTTTTAAATGAACTTCCACATACTGTAGTTTTCACCTGTGTCATTCGGGGTAGTGGATGTCTCTGGGGCTAAGGCTCGCCGCCTGTGGCTTGGAGGTTGACGGTTCGTATCCCACGGCTAGCATAGGAATCCTACTCTGTTGGGCCCTTGAGCAAGGGGCCCTTCACCCCAACTGCTCCAGGGGCGCCGTATAAATGTCTGACCCTGTTCTCTGACTCCCTGCCTGTGTCTCATTGAGAGCAAGTTGGGGTACGTGAAAAAAGACAAGTTCCTAATACAAGAAATTGTATATGGCTAATAAAGTGATTTTATCTTATTTGGTCTGTGTTTCACTGTTTATTCTGAAGACATGTGCTGGGTTATCAGTGTCTTTGAGGATTTTGAATACTTTTTTAGTCTCCGGCCTGTCAGTGTAGGACTTTGCCTGGAGCCCTGGAGCAATTTACTGTTGTCGTTTCAGGGTGTGTGGTGAAACATCTGAAAGTGATAACATCTTTCCAGCATTGCAAGACTGTAAATAATATGGTGTACTCAAAAATAATAAACACTCAAGTAGAATTCTGATATTCAGTTTGTCATCCAGAATTATTTCATCTTGGGATCTTGGACCACATGAAAATGAAAACTTCACCTGTATTCATCTATGCAAGATGTTTTTTGAAGTTTTCATTTAGGTCTGTGAATTCATTTAAATCTAAGAATTGGCTTAATTGTGTATCATTAGTTCTGTTTGAGCAAGAGACTCCTTTGAGCATTTAGGAAGATATCTCTACACATCATTTCTTGTACATTTCATCATTTCTTGACGTTTCTTGGCATTTACCTGTCCAAAAGCAAGGAGGGCATTGTAAATCGGGTTTATGTTTTTCCTTATAGGGATTCAGTGATTAATCTCTTCATGGCATTGGGGCCACAGGCTTTATGGCAGGACTGATACAACTTCATATTACCAGATACAACATCTCCTGGGAAATATTGGAGCTAGTTTGTAAATGCTGAAATGACCTTTTAGCACCACATTCCAAAATATTGGTGCGTGCATAGCAGATACTTCCTTTTTCTTAAAACCCTTTGTGGTACGAATTGGACACAAGGCCAATAAAAGAATAGCTCCCTAATAAACCTCAAAAAAATCTCCCCGTGAAAGGAAAATCAGAAAGCAATACTTTTTCTAAAACCTAGCAGCAGGAGCTGGGGACTGATTTACCATTGGTTTAGTATTCTTAAAGGCACTAAATTAAACAATAACTCTGATAACCACAGGAACAGCAGTACTTGGATTTTTCAACAATAGCGACACGTCATCTGCATGAAACAATGGTTTATGTACAGTCATTTAGATTTAGTTTGTGTTCCTGACACCCTTGGGTTACTTCTGATTGTTTCAGCCAGTGAGTTCATAACCAGGGCAAACGACAGAGGGGACAGATGGTACCCCTGTTTTCTGCAGAGAGACTGGAGGGTGTATCACATAATGAACACAATTTAGTAGTCTTTTTCACTTAAATGCATCTTCAAACAAATAGAAAACGCTTTATGTAGATCACTATACTAAATGTAGTCAAATACCTTCTTTGCACTTAAAGAAAACTGTAAAGAAACAGTAAAGAAAACTGTTACTTCTAGTTTCTTCATTTCAGAATACTGAATAATATTAGATGAATTGTAATATTAATCTAAGATAGCCTGTTCTGTACAATAGCAGTCAGGCCTGGTATATATAAAGTATAGTTTTGGATACGTACAGATCTTTTTAGTGAATTATTTTGCACAGACTTTTTTATTGTATTCTTTTGTAAAACCAAACACTAGATGTCTTAACTAAGACAGTTTATTAATTTTTAATAAATAAAAAATGTTGATAATAAGGGTGTCCAGCATCCAAAGGTTCCTTATCTATTTCTTCGGGCCTGTTGCCTTGCTGGATTGCAGTGTCTTGTTCTGCTGTGTTGCAAAGTCAAATTAAAGCATATTTAAAAATGATTTTTTTTCCACCCCAGTAGAAGTAATTCTCTTTAATGTTAAAATGAAATAAAGTATTTAGATGTCTTCAGAATTATTTAAAAAATAAAAATCTGAAAAATAACTTAATTGATAAGTATTTGCCCCCTTTGTATTAACAACTTAAATTGGGTGAGGTATTAAATTATCTTGAGAGATATCACACTAAATATGTTAACAAGGTACACCTGTGTTCAGCTGTGAGGTCTCACAACTAATACAGCAGATCAGATCGGTCCTGCTGTCATGAAGACCCAAGGAGCTGCCCGTGGAAATTCGAGATGAAGTTGTTAGGAGGAAAAAAGCTGGAGAAGGTTATAAAAAGATTGGCAAAGCTTTGAACCTTGCTAGGAGCACCGTGAAGTCCATTGTAAAAAAATGGAAAAAACATGGCACAACCCAAACACTACTAAGATCTGGCCATCCTACCAAATTGACAAGAAGGGAAGTTGTCGGAGAAGTGACCAAGAGGCCAGCTACAACACTGACAGAGTTGCAGAGCTCTTTTGTTGAAATGGGAGAAACTGTCCAGACATCAACAATCTCTTCAGTACTTCACAGATTTGGCCTCTTTTGGAGAGTGGCTAGAAAGAAGCCACTTCAGAGAAAGGCCAACTTTAAGTCACGCCTGGAGTTTGCTGGAAGCCATGTGACAAAACCTGAAACCTTTTAGAAGAAAATTTTGCGGTATGATTAGACTAAAGTTGAGCTATTTTGCCTGAAAGCAAAGCTCTATGTTTGGCACAAAGCGCTATGTTTGGCGCAAACCGAATACAGCCCAACACCCAGGTTACACCATCCCTGCCATCAAGCATGGTGGTGGTAGCATCATACTCTGGGGTTGCTTTTCAGCAGGAGGAACTGGAAAGCTTGTTGCCATCAAGGGCAACATGGATGGAGCCAAATAAAGGGAAATCCTTGAGGAGAACCTGTTCCAGTCAGCCAGAGATCTGCATTTAGGGCGAAGGTTCATTTTCCAGCAGGACAATGACCCTAAGCACAAGGCAAAAACTATCAAGGAATGGCTTGAAAAAAAGAAGGTTAATATTCTGGAATGGCCCAGCCAGACTTGTATCCAATTGAAAATCTGTGGTATGACCTGAAAATTGCTATCAACTGACACTTTCTGTCTTATTTGGCAGAGTTGGAGCAAATTTACATTAATGAATGGACATAAATTCCACAATCTAAATGTGCAAAGCTCTTACAGACATACCCAGGAAGACTCACGGCTGTAATTGCTGCTAAAGGACTATGTAAAAAGTATTGACTGGGGTGGAGGGTGAATACTTTTGTAAGCAAGACATAAAACTTTTTCATTCTGGAGAAACAAATGTTCTTGAATAAAAAATATTTTTGATTCATAAATGTGTTGAATTTATTGTGTTATTTAAGGGAGAAAAAAATCTTTAAATGTGTAAAAATTTGGAGGGGGTGTAACAGAAACAAAATGTGAAAAAATTCAAGGGGGTGAATACTTTCTGAAGGCACTGTAGATGAAATAGGATTAAGGCACTTTAATGCATGATGTTACCTGTTTTGCATCATCTGCTATAAGAAGCTGTATTATGTTTATTTATATTTGGATGCTTGTGATGATGAAGAGGTTATACAACACAACATTTTAGATGATGTCGGTATAACAATGTCATGTTCCTTGATACAGGCAATGGAGCATGAACCAGCATGATTACATTTGCTAAAGTGTGTCTAGATTTATCTTTATATTCATACATTTTTGTCTAGATGGAAAATCAATGTATTGAGGGCCTTTCTGACTACTACTAATTTAGCCCTTGCCAATAGCAGTTGTAATTTCAAATTAATTTGTTCTCTAAGCACATTGTTCTTCTTTCTGGACAGTAAAAAGCCTCTTAAGGAGACATCAGTTATTTAATATGTAGTAATACAGTGCCTTGCAAAAGAATTCAGATCCTGTAAAAGTTTTAAAATGTTTCTGGATTACCACTGATACTTACACACCCTTTTCCATGCAGTATTTTTATTCCAACCTCAAATGCTCAAACAGAAAACCTTTTAAAGGTAAATTAGTTATTTGTCAGCAGACATCTTAAATATAAAAATTGAAATATGCTGCTTGTTTATGTGAGCATAGCCATTATATAGAAGGTTTGTATCAATTCTGACAATCTCATGCGTAAATTAAAGCATTTCTACTTGAGACTTTACAGAAACTTCTGGGTGAGACAGAGCTGATCTTTTGCAGAATCAGTTCTTTGAAAGAGGGATAGGAACTGATGTTAGAATAGTGAAAAAAACAGAGCATGATCAAATATGAAAACTGGCCCAATACCACATTTCAGATTCAATCTTGCAGAAAGTAAACTTACGCTCAGTATATATTATAGGGAAGAGAATAAATGTACATCCCCTAACTGAAGTATTTAACGAGTGCCACATAGCTCCTTTCAGCGATTATACAAATTAAAGCTTCTGTATTGTGACAGAGCAATGATTTACATTGAGTGAGTATGGAGATGGTAATCCTCTCTCTATGCAAAACCACTTGCATGAACACAAACCATCTTCCAGGATCAGAGTTGGCAT